AGAAATAGGGTTCATTGGTTTTAGAGACTCAGGGTCAGATTTGTCATCAGTTCATTGTGTGAGATGCCATTACTTGACAGGTTGTTTTTGGAGGATCTTAACTGAGTTACTGTGATGGCAAATAATGCCTAATGACAAACTTTGTTACAGAAACTGTTTTGTATAAACTAGGGGACACATAAAAAAGTGAAAGGATTTTTGATGGGTTTTTAGAAGGTCCTTCAACACAATTCTTACCTCAGTGCAATCATAAACCTCCCTTCCTTGTGCCTTTCCTGCCTTTATTTTGTCTTGTTCTTATAGAAGTTGATTTCATGAATTTTTACATTTCCCCTTTTTGATCAAGATCTTTGAAAAGATCACTGCTAAAATAGTCCAGTGTCAGATTTTATGTGTCCCTTTTTGCTACAATGGACATGTTTGAGTCACTGGATGTGACCTAATATCAGGGAAGGTAATGAACAACTGCAAGTCCATGTCAAGATGTTTTAATTACATTTGAGCAACAAAGAGGCCAGAAAAAGGTGCTTTTGTGCCTGTTACCTAGGCATTATGTTTATCTGTTTTGCAGGTATTGGTCGTTGTCTCAGAGCACTGGGCAAACATTATTTTGTCAGTAGTTGCATTTCTGCAGAGCTTTAATAGATAACATGTACATAGCTTAAAAAGGAAGGAATAAAGAAAAGATGCCAACTCTGTGAACATTCTAGATTGAATGATGCTTTTAAACCATAAACCTACAGTAAAAGACATTTAATTACATAGATGAAATGATAATGGAGAACTAGGTGAGGCTTATGGTAGTCATGTAGCTTGCTCTCTTATTTTATGCAACTGAGTCTCAGTTTCCTCAGAGTTTATTCAGGTACATCATGCAGGGTTAGCAATAATAAAGACATCGCCTTCCTTAGTTAATACATAATCAAGAACAGTTCTATTATCTGAGACTACCCTGGCTAGAAATATTAATATGCTATTGTGCAGCAGCAGCTTTTCCAGTGGAGACCTCAAACATTCCTGTGGTAGCAGATAAGATTTCTTATCATTTATTCATTAGTGGCTACATTCTTTGTTCAAGAGATCTGCCAAAGGAAGCAAATCCAGAATTATATAATTAACCAGGTAACTGATGCTTGATCCTTTGATGTAGTGAGGGGAGTAGCTCAATAATTACTCTAATGATCTGTTTTACACCTATTATGTATGGATAATTGAGGAGTCAAATATCCCAATCTACACTGGCCTCCTATTGTTTGGCTGTCTAAACATCTGGAAGCCCAAATTGAGCCATTCCACCTATAGAAATGAAAGTACTTAGTACAAACACAAATGATTCTTTCACCTTTGAATTATTGTGTGTAAAGGAATTATACCTGGAGTAAGTACTAAGTTACGTTACTACATATTGCTAATGATTCCTCCTTTGGCGACAGGTTTCAATAACATTATATATATAAATATATATATATAAATAAACATATATATAAACATATACACGTTTTAAGTATATACATATATAAATATACATACATATATATATACACACACATATATAAACACATATACATATGTGCATATATATATATTTTAAGAAGAATGACCCATTGCACATTTCTAGGGTCTAACTCAGCAAAAACTGTTTTGAGTAGGTGAGACAAGGGATCAGAATTGAAGGTAAATAGCAAAATTTAACCCTATTGGAGGTCCACAAATATACTCCCTACAGATGGTGGAACATGGAATTAGTGTCTAAATTAGCACATCCACGTGGTATGCTCTGAGGCATGGGGAAACTGGGAGGTGTAGATTTTCAAATAGCTTCTCAGTAGAGGTGAGGCAGGGCAGGAGACTGGATCTTATCTGACCTCACCAGCTTATCTGGCCCTTTCACTACATTGAAGCAGGTGGAGACAAAACTGAAGGTCTTGAAGATGCAGCTGTGCTCCCTGTGTGGGACAGTAGACTGCCCACCATCACTGAGGGGCTCTATTTCACACCCAGGAGGCAGCAACCATGCAGTAAGATGCATAGTTGGAGATGGAGAGGGCAGAATGAGAAAGAGCTTCTTTCTCCTTACCACCAGCCCACAGGCAGCTATTGCAAGAGAACTAGAAAGCCAAGGATCTTCTGGAGGCTACCATCCACCACCACAAGCACTGAGAACAGTAGCAGCAGAGGTGAGCAGACAGCATCTGTCACACCCAACAATGTAGTCTCCTGTCCTCTTCACCTTCTGTCTCTGTGCCCGTTTTACTACCTCTTGACTCTCCTCCACCTGTCCCATTTATTCCCCCATTGCACCTTCCTATGCCACCCCTTTCATCCAGTTGAAGGAAGAGCTGAAATGTGAGGTATACAGGATCCTGCTCAAGCCCTGAACATTCAGGAAGAGGTTGATCCAAGAAAGGTGGAATGTCCTCAGATTTAGTGGAAGGGAACAAAGGCAGCACCAAAATGTGACTAGGGGACTGAGGGCAAAGAGGGCTCTGGGAATCCTAAGAGGAGTGTCTGCAAGAAAGGACACTCTTGCTGTGGACACAGCAAAGGCAAAGGCAAAAAGGCAGTGTTGGTTGGGTGGAGTTTGGTATGATCAAGTAGATCATGGAGACCTCCCAGCCCAGATTTGTCCTTCCAAAGACAAGTCCCAAGTTCCTAGTAGTCATTGAGGAAACTGACAGCTGCCCACTGAGCATGGCCTGAGGCCTTTCCAGGTCAGGAGAACACACCGCACCATGACCTTATCTGAGAGGACTATGGCAAATGAAGACATTGTTATGATGCAACCCACTTCAGCTGAGTCTGTGCTAAGGGAGGGATGGAGGTGGGCCCAGCATCCCCAAGTCCCAGGTTCCTTGAAAAGCCTTTGTCTCACTCTGCCTTCAGCCTTGGCCAGTTTCTCTAACTTCTGGGTCCCAGGAATGCTGATACATAATGGATAGGTTTTTGGAGCTCCCAAGGTAGAGGAATGAGGACCAAGACCCTCTCCACCTGGCCCTGGAGGATCTGGGACCCAACCGACCTTCACAATTTAAAAAAAAGTCAATACTGTGGGATCCAAAGCCAGTCAGTTCCATGTTAAAGTTCTCACTGGTTTACTGAAGAAAAAGAAATGTATTTTAAGGCTGTGTATAGTTTGTCTACTTACAGACATGAGACATATAACTGACTTTTTGACAGAAATATATCTAATATATTCAGTGTGCAGAAAGTCAATCAACATTGTCTTAAATTCTGTATACCTCATGCAGTTTCAGATTCACCGATATGCATTAATGCATTTAAGGTCAATGACTGAAGTCAAGGTGTGCACTGCCTGCGTCGAAATACATTGATTTAAGGACAAAGAGATATCTTCTCTTGACAGGCTACCATGCCAGGTAAGCCAGTAATGTGGTGGGGTTGAAGAGAGAAGCTCATCCAGGCTTCCAGACTGGTGAGCATTGTTTCCACAGAATGGAAGAATATGGCATGGTGGAAAAGTTGTACAGCCAGTCTGAGACCTCAAGCAACAAACCTGTCTCAACCTCTCAGTTTTCTAACTATAATATGTGGTTAGCTACACCTGTGTTACCGATGAGATATTGACACACAATCAAAATAATTTTACATCCAGTGGAAATTAGAGAAGATGCTGAATAAAGTACAGGCACCACATGTAAAAACTTCAATTTAGCTAACCTCATGGTTAGAAGAAATTTGTACCTCAAACTGAAAACTTCTGTACAGAAAATAAAACAAATATCAAAATGAGGAGACAGCCCATAGATTCAGAGAAAACACTTGCAAGCCACACATCTCACATGGGTTAAATCTAAAGCATATATGGAACTCAAAATACTTAATAAGAATGAATAAATAAATAACCCTACTCAAAAAGTGAACAAAAACCTGAACATACATTTCTCAAAAGAAGACTTGAAATGGCCTACAGATGTACTGAAACATTGTCAACATCAATAATCCACAGGGAAATGCAATTTAAAACTACAATGAGATCACGTCAGACCTATTAGAACACATATTGTCAAAAAGATAAAAGATAAGAAGTGTTCCTGAAGGTTTGAATACAAAAGTTAGGAACGTAAATTAGAACACCAACTTGGAAAGTACCATAAAGTCATAAAGCTAAAAATAAAACTACCAAATGATCCAGCAATCCCACTTCGGGGTATATGTCCAAGTAAAAGACATCAGTATGAGAAAGAGACATCAGCCCTCCCATATTTATGGCACCATTATTCACAACAGTCAAGATACCAAAACTACAGAAGCCCTCAACAATGCATAAATGGATAAAATAATTGTTTACATATAAAATAAAATTCTACTCATTAAAAAGGAAACAAATTGTCCATTGTGGCAACATAGATGACTCTAGAGTACATTGTGTTAAATAAAATAAGCCAGGTACAGAAAAACAAATACCACTTAACTTTAATTATATGTGGACTGTTAAAAAGTCAAACTAATGCAAACAGAGAGAAGAATGAAGTTTACCAAAACTGAGGGTGAGGATGGGGTAAAAGATCAATAGGGATTTGTTGGTCCAAGAATACGAAGTTTCAATTCAGCAGGAGGAATAATTTCTGGTGATCTATTGCACAGCATGGTGAATATAGTTAATAGTAATGTATATTTCAAAGATGCTAACAGAATGGATTTTAAATGTTCTCACCGCAAAGAAATGTGTCAGATAATGAATATGTGAATTAGCCTGATTTAATCATTTCACAATGTATACGTGTGCTGAAACTTCAAATTGTACGTCATAAGCATATACCATTATAATCTGTCAAGTAAAACAAAATAAATTTAAAAGTCTTGTACAATAGTATTTTAAAAAAGAGGAAGAAACTACATATTGAGCACAAGAGGAAACACATTAAATTCAAAGATATGAACAGTTTGAAAGTTATGGGCAGGGAAAGATATACAATGTAAACATAACCATAACACAGATACACTGGATGACAATATTAACACCAAAGAAACAAAACTGATACTAGGAATAAAGAGTGTCATTTATTGCAAAAATGTCAGCCAGGGGGACACTGTACCAATTACAGGTATACATGCAGCAAACAACTCCAACATCAAATAAAAATAGAGAAGAAATTAAGGGTGAAACAGACCGTCATATGTAAATATTCAGATACATCAAATGCAACTTTTGATAATCGATAGAACTACCAAAAGACTGACAATTGTATAGAAGTCTTGGACATTATAAAACAACTTGAATTTACAGATCTGTATATATAGACACAATGCCCAACAACAGAATACCCAATCTATTCAAGCCCTTGGAACATACTCCAGAAAAGGCCATTTGCGAGACCATAAAATATCTTCAATGAATTTGAGAACTGAAATCATACAATGTATGTTCTCTGACCAAAATAGATTTAAACAGAAAATTATTAACTGAATATTACAGTAGCTCACAATTACATGGAAGTTAAAAACAAACTCCCAAACTGCCAGTGAGCCATAAAAATGACACTAAAATTTGAAACATTTTCAGATTGAAAATAACAATACATCAAAAGTAAAAAAAGGGCTTAAAAATTTATATTTTTAAATGTATATATTTTAGAAAGGAAAGATCTGAAACCAATAACCTAACCTTCCAATTAAAAACCTAGACAAAGGTGGAAAATCAAACCACCTAAAACAGAAAAAAAGATAAAAATCAGAGTGAAAAATGAGAAACAAATGATGGTTGCTGTACTCTCTTCCCACTGTTACCAGAGATTTGGGGACAGAATTGTGGCAGATGGAAATGACCTCCCTGCCCCAAAGGATCCCAGAGCCCCTGCCTCCAAGCACAACCTAAAAATCAGAGTGAAAAATGAGAAACAAATGATGGTTGCTGTACTCTCTTCCCACTGTTACCAGAGATTTGGGGACAGAATTGGGGCAGATGGAAATGACCTCCCTGCCCCAAAGGATCCCAGAGCCCCTGCCTCCAAGCACAACCCTCAGTTTCTATGCTGGACACCATTTTGTCTCACTTGCTCTTACCCTTGTTTGGGGCTTGCGTCTCCCACACCCCCAAAGGCTCTGAAGGCAGACAGGAAGTCACCACAGACTTGAGAAGTCTCCTTAGGAGAAAACAGGGTCTGGGGCCAGCTCTAGGTCTGGAGACCTATACACAAGCAGACCCATGCACAAAGCAATACATAAGTGGAGCCAGGATTTACCTCTTAGAGGTAAGTTACAAGATAGAACTCCATCACTGCAAATAGAAACACAAAAGATATCTTAGCTATCGGGCACATGGTACACACTCATACCTATGATTTGGTATGAAATGCCATTTGAAAACATGAGAAATTGGTATAAAAAACAAGTATTCCTTCCAGACACTGCTTTTCACTGAATAAAATAAAACCATTGTTTACAGCTCTTTAAGTTCAAACAAGTTGTTTACAATTATGAGCCTGTGAATTTGTGCAGTCACACAAAAATGTTTCTATTCTACCCATAGACTCGCTCTGCATTAGCTTCAAACTTTAGAAAAATTTATCCTCACATAGTTTTGTAATACTGGTCATACAAATTTACCTAAAATAGGAGAGTAGGAAAAAAAATCTATGCAGTCCAGTACATTACACTTAATATATATTCTAAAATATACAGAAGTTAGAGTGGCAGTTAATGTCAAAAATCCCAAAGTAAGTCAAACCAATTGTTTATCACACTAAGTGTACATACTTCCTATCCACAGTTATGCTATTTTCTGTAAAGAAGAATTTTTAATAAAGAACATTTTAATGCATAAATTTTGCATGTGAAGTGGCCTGTGTGCATTTTATGTTACCAACATTTGTGTCTTCTTTCCACTCAATGGAGTGGCATCTCCCTACCTTCAGTTATGACAACCAAAAATGTCTTCAGACAAAGACAAATGTCCCCTGGCAGACAGTGTCACCAGTCATATTTAAATACTGGTAACACTCAAAATGTTAAAAGTATTTGTACTACTCCATTTATAATTTCCATTTAAAAATTTACATTTATTACATACATACTTTTCATTTCAAATTCGGACATAAAAAGTGTTTAGTTTTCTTAAAAGCTTTGACACATTAAAGAGATTTAGAAAGATATTTAACTTTATTTTCACTGTTCAATGAGATGTCTCAATAAGATATCCCACATTTATTACAGTTTCTCCCCTTACATTTGATTTTCCCATAAACCGATTTGCATATAAAAGGTGACAACACAGGATTCTCTTCCCATATTCAAGGATTGGTAACTTCTCTCAACATTTATAAAATCATTTAGCTGGAGTGGGCTGGTTGTGCTGTAATGCAAAGAGAGCACACATAAAATGGCTCAACAAGGAAATAATTTCTTATGTAATAGATAAGTGGAGGTTTGGGGATAGTGGTGAGACTATCTCTGGTTTCTTTAATTCCTTCCATTTTAAATTAGGGTGGATTTCTCCGACCTGTGGCCCCCAACTCCACCCAAAGTCATCTTCATTCAGTCCCAGAGAACATGAAAAATCAGGAACAACTGCATGAAAATTTTTTTTTTTATTTTGGTGCCTGAACTGGAAGTAATTTTCCTCACTTATATCTACGTTCTCCCTAACAGAGTTAAATGATATGGTCAGCCATCCAATCATGAAATGCTCAGATTGCAGGCTTTGCATACAGGAGAAAAGAGTGGTTTGATTTTAAAAATATATAGTCAGTCTAATCCATACAGAATTTCTCCCCTTTAAATCCTGTAATACCTACTATAATGTGAATACTTCTTAATTTTTATCTATCTATCTTTTGCTGCATGGCTGGTATGGAGATCATTTGTGTTATCAGCACAACGTTATAAGCAACAATGCACTAACCATAGCCATTCTTCAGACTTCTGAGAAAAGATGTTTTCACACTCATTACACTCCTACTTCCATATCTGAGGGTTACACATCTGGTGATTCAAGCATCATCTTATCAAAAATCCTCAAAAATAAATAAAAATGATAAATGAAACAATTCTACAACTGAAAATCAACACAGTATAACAACTATTTACATAGTATTCATGTTTTTTCCAGCATTATAAGTAATCTACACAAGATGTAAAGTACACGGCAGGAAGTGAATTGGTAATACACAAACGCTACACCATTTGTAGAATGGAATTGAGCATCAGCAAATTTTTATGTCAATAGGGGATCCTCAAGACAAGCTTCAGCACTTGAGGACAACTGTATATTTATAGGTCTTCTTTTTGATATAAGTTCTCTGATGTCTTGAGGTATGACTTCTGGCAAAATCTTATCCCATACAAATTACATTCAGTGAGATTTACCTTTGTGTGAATTCTATTCTGTCTGTTAGGGGGATTTCCAATAAAAGGCTTGTAATGTCACATTCATAAGTAGTTTTTTATTGTGTGAGTATCCTGAAGACTTCTAAACTGTGACTTTGCAAAAAAACTTTTTCCCCACATTCATTATATTCACATGGCTTCTACCTGTGTGAATTCTCTGATGCCTGCTAAGGATTGACTTTTGGTTAAAAGCTTTTCCACATTCTTTACATTCATATGGTTTCTCTCCTGTGTGAATTCTCTGATGCATGCTGAGGTGTGACTTTTGCTTAAAAGCTTTTCCACATTCTTTACATTCATATGGTTTCTCTCCTGTGTGAATTCTCTGATGCATGCTGAGGTGTGACTTTTGCTTAAAAGCTTTTCCACATTCGTTACATTCATATGGTTTCTCACCTGTGTGAATTCTCTCATGCATGCTGAGGTGTGACTTTTGCTTAAAAGCTTTTCCACATTCTTTACATTCATATGGTTTCTCACCTGTGTGAATTCTCTCATGCATGCTGAGGTGTGACTTTTGCTTAAAAGCTTTTCCACATTCTTTACATTCATATGGTTTCTCACCTGTGTGAATTCTCTCATGCATGCTGAGGTGTGACTTTTGCTTAAAAGCTTTTCCACATTCTTTACATTCATATGGTTTCTCACCTGTGTGAATTCTCTCATGCATGCTGAAAATCGACTTTTGGTTAAAAGCTTTTCCACACTCTTTACATTCATAAAGTGTTTTCCCTGTCGGAGTACTCTGATGCATCCTGAAGGATGACTTGTTAAATGTTTTTCCACATCCATTATGTCTGTAGGGCTTCTCACCTGGGTGAGTTCTCTGATGCATGCTGAAGGCTGACATTTCATTAAATGCTTCAGAACTTTCCTTACATTCATATGCTGTGTCACTTTTGTGAATTATCTGATGCCTGTTGAGGGCTGACTTTCGGCTAAAAGCTTTCCCACATTTTTTACAATCATATGGTTTCTCACCTGAGTGAATTCTCTCGTGCACCCTGAGGTGTGACTTTAACTTAAAAGCTTTTCCACATTCTTTACATTCATATGGCTTCTCACATGTGTGAAATCTCTGATGCATGCTGAGATATGACTTCAACTTAAAAGATTTTCCACATTCTTCACATTCATATGGTTTCCCACATGTGTGCATGCTCTGATGCATGATGAGGTGTGACTTTTGGTTAAAAGCTTTTCCACATTCTTTACATTCATATGGTTTCTCACCTGTGTGAATTCTCTGATGAATGCTGTGGTGTGACTTTAACTTAAAAGCTTTTCCACATTCTTTACATTCATATGGTTTCTCATATATGTGGATTCTCTGATGCATTCTGAGGTTTGACTTTTGGTTAAAAGCTTTTCCACATTCCTTACATTCATATGGTTTCTCACCTGTGTGAATTCTCTGATGCATAGTGAGGATTGAATTTTGGTTAAAAGCTTTCCCACATTCTTTACATTCATATGGTTTCTCACCTGTGTGAATTCTCTGATGCATGGTGAGGTGCGACTTTCGCTTAAAAGTTTTTCCACATTCTTTACATTCATAAGGTTTCTCACCTGTGTGAATTCTCTCATGCATGCTGAGAACTGGCTTTTTGTTAAAAGCTTTTCCACATTCTTTACATTCATAAGGTGTTTTCTCTGTTTGAGTACTCAGATGCGTGCTGAAGGCTGACATCTGGTTAAAAGCTTTTGAATTTTCCTTACATTCATACGTTATCTCACTTTTGTGAATCCTCTGATGCCTGTTGAGGGCTGATTTTTGGTTAAATGCTTTCCCACATTCTTTACATTCATACGGTTTCTCACCTGTGTGAATTCTCTGATGCATATTGAGGGTGGACTTTTGGTTAAAAGTGCGTCCACATTCTTTACATTCATATGGTTTCTCACCTGTGTGAATTCTCTGATGCATGCTGAGGTGCGACTTTCGCTTAAAAGCTTTTCCACATCCTTCGCATTTATATGGTTTCTCACCTGTGTGAATTCTCTGATGCATACTGAGGATTGACTTCTGATTAAAAGCTTTTCCACATTCTTTACATTCATATGGTTTCTCACCTGTGTGAATTCTCTGATGCATGCTGAAGATCAACTTTTGGGTAAAAGCTTTCCCACATTCTTTATATTCATATCGATAGTCACCTGTGTGAATTCTCTGATGTGTCTTCAGGTTTGAATTTTGGCTAAAACCTTTTCCACATTCCTTGTTAATTCTCTTATGCTTGCTGAAGTTTGAATTCTGGTGAAAGTTTTTTCCACATGTGTTACAGTCAAAGGGTTTCTCACCAATGTGAATTCTCTCATGTTTCTTGAGTTTTGACTTACTGGAGAAAATCTGACTTTCTTCACATTCAAATGGATTCTCACTAATGTGAATTCCCTGATATACAGTAACGGCAGACTTATTGTAGTAAGATTTTCTACATACATTACATTTTCCACTTGTGTGAACTGCCTGATGAGAGCTGTGAAGTGAATTCTCATGTAAGTTTTTGCCACCCTTATTAAATCCATAGGATATTTCCCCTGTGTGATTTCTGTGATGCACTGTAAGGTCTGACTTCTGATAGAAAATTTTCTCTTGTTCATTACATGGATAAAGCTTCTTCCCTGTAGATGTTCCCTGATATGAGATAAGGTATGATTGCTTAATAAAGGATTTCTGACATTCACTGTTTTTATGTTTGTCTCCTGTGTGTATAATCTGATGTTGAGTAAGTTTACCCTTTTTACAGAATATTTTCCCACATACATGACATTGAAAAGTTTTCTTCCCTACCTGAGTTATCTGTTGGGCAATGACAGCTGAATTATTACAGGCTTTTCCATTTTGGCTATGTTTATATGTAGTCTCACCCATATGAATTTTCTTACATGCAAATATTATTGGCACTGTGTTGGAGGATTGTCCTTTTCCACTATATTCAAAAGATTGCCCAGTTGGAATCTTAGGATACTGACTAAGATGCTCATGATGACTCAGTGATTTCTCAGATACATTATGCTCATCAGGTTCCTCTTCAGCATGCATGGAATCAGTCTGTGGAAGAAGTGCTTTCAGACATATGTTAAACTCTTCATGCCCCACTCCTGAATAGTTTCCATTATTTATAACAAGATTTAAAATATGCATTGAACTCAAATTAAATGATTTTTCTAACTCCACTCTCTCAGTTGATCTGTTGCCATTGATGATTACACCTTGCCACAAGTATCTACCATGACTTTCTTGGCTCCTCTCAGTGAGGTCATTGACTATCTGGACATCTGAAATGACAAAAAAAAAAAAAAAAACATGTCCATGAACCACACATAAGCATATTTTTTTTTGCATGCTCATGTAAAGGTAGAGGAGTTTCTCTCAACCCTAATAATAAAAGATTTTATAAAAATCAATAATGTGTATTGGTTTCAGGTGTATATGTGTTTTCTTCATACTCACATAATGTTATGTTGTATTAATATATTTCCTAACATTACATCATATTGTTCTTTACTTCTTTATTCACTTTTTTTGTTTCTGAATCATGATGAAATATTGATAATTTTGACCTTTTTACTAATTGGAGATGTCAGATAATTGCTTATCACCTTCCATTTGTTTAGTTTTTACAACAAAAGTGGTTATCTCCTGCTGCTCTTTTTCTCATTCTTCTGTTTTCAATATGACTAGGTTTTCCTTCACTGTCTACTTTCAGGTGCAGAATGATCCAATTTTTAATTACATATGGAGGAAAATGACAGGTTAAGAATTTTGCATTAATGTTTCTATACCTTTTACTCTTCCCTGGAAAATGGCAATAGGCATGTGGAAGTTTTTCAAATAATAAAATCTTTTCCCCACCCTAAACAGAGCCTCCCACAAATTACTCCTTTAACCTGACTTCCTGTGCTTCAAAAAACCATTACTATCCAGGAAATTTCAGTCCACCCCTACAGACACCCAGCTGGTGTAAACTATTTGGTTCTGCAACCAAGGCTGTGCCCACCACCTTTGAAAAAGGTGTTTTTGACTCCTTATAAAATCAACCTGTAGTATCTTCCAAAGCTCTGGAACACACACTCCCATTTGATAATTCACTGTTTATGAAGTCTTTAGTATTATGCACTGGAGTTTTGGATGGCTATACTCTCATAAAAAATAGTCTCCTGTAGGGCCGGCCCGTGGCTCACTCGGTAGAGTGCGGTGCTGATAACACCAAGGCCGCAGGTTCGGATCCTATATAGGGATGGCCGGTTTGCTCACTGGCTGAGCGTGGTGCTGACAACACCAAGCCAAGGGTTGAGATCCCCTTACCGGTCATCTTTTAAAAAAAATAAATAAATAAAAAGAAAAAAAAGAAAAAAAAAGAAAACCTTTCCACAGAGCAAAGAATACTTTTCTGATGTGATTAATCTACGTAACCTAACTGGTTTATAAATTTAAATTCCAGCAGATTTTCCTTAAAAAGGTTGATTACTGGTATCTTGTGTAGGTACTCCTCACAGCTGCAAACCATCTTAGTCAAAAATTTAGGGAGTGGGCCGGCCCGGTGGCGCACTGGATGGGTGCGCCGCTTGGGAAGCGCGGTGGCGCTCCCACCCGAGGGTTCGGATCCCACATACAGACCGGTTCCCGCTCACTGGCTGAGCGTGGTGCTGACAACACCAAGCCAAGGGTTGAGATCCCCTTACCGGTCATCTTTTAAAAAAAAAAAAAAAAAAAAA